AAAAACAGGGCACCCGAAAGCTTACTGTTCCGAAACCACACTATGACATCTAATCTCAAATAATACCAGTCGATAGCCAAAACATTTCTCTTCAAAACTACGTAAGGCGTAGGTCTCCATCTCTTTTCTCTTCTCAGCTCAATGACATACAGAATCTTTCTCTGTCACTCTTCTTCATAGACTACACTACATGTATTTGCTTTTGTCGCTTTACACGTTCAAAGTTTTTTCAAATACTTTCACTTTTTTCTCATCTAGAAACAGTTTGAACTTAGGTATAGAGGAAAAACAGTTTATTTCTTCAAATTCATAGAAAATTACAACGGCTAAAGGGACTACGTCAGAGGGTTATGAATAATCCTAACCTAAATTTAGTCTGTGTTTTAATTTCAGAAATAATTTCACTAATTCACTCCGAAATATTTTCGATGTCAGCGTATTTGTATAGAATGGTGTTGCATGATTAAAATAGAATAAATACAGAAATAAACGTAACAGGAGCTGTTCAACTTCTGTATTTCCCTGTGTGAGTTTCTGAACTTGATAAATCGAATATCCGGTGTAGGGAAGAGAGAAAAATATATTTGTAAATATTTGGATTATAATTATTTTCAACATTTGACGATCGCGATGATGATGATGATGTAATTGTGTCGTTTTATTGTGTAGCCTTTTAGCTGGTTCTGCTGCAGGAGAATGTGGTGCCATGTCTGTTACTTTCGTATGATGAAAAGAGGCATCTAAAAGCAGAAATCAAAGACTACAAAAGAAGTTCTTTCTTGTGTGAAAGAGATAATAATGATGCAACAGCTTTCCTTTTTTCAGCAGTCTTTTTGCGTCTACTGTCTCGTTTCTAAACTTTTGCGTGTAGGCTATTAAACATTTTGATGCACACCAAATATAGGTCGAGTCGAAGAAATCGCCCTTGAAGTGGCGAACCATAACCTCTTGCCGTGGAAAAAGCTCTGACTCGCTTCTTTTACGGAGCTTTGTATGAAGTGTTGTGTTTTTTAGTGGCAGATTTTGTTTTCGCAGGTCTCAACGTTTTATGCTTCTGTTGCAAGTCCACACTGCTTAGCACTTTTCCGACTAGAGTTTTGAATCTGGGAAAAATCGTCGTCAGTTAAATACCGTTTGCTCCTGTTCTTCTTCGCTGCTGTGTAACATTTGTCACTGTCATCAAACCAAAAACAGTCATTAACCCACGTGGTAAAAACGTGTAGAAGACCACCACATAAATACGAAAGAATCGTGCATACCATCCACTTCCATTGATTTGGCAACTGACACCGATTTGCGTTCGCGGTAATTCGAATGAAATTGGAATGTGAATGTAGAGCAGACAGCAGATCACTGACATCGCTGGTATAACGTAAACAGCAACCTTCAATGTTGCCCATTTTCGTAGACTGGCATTCCGTGAGGATGACAGATACCGATCTGCGCAAGCCAAAACAAAGAAATAACTTGAAAAACTTGCTGCTGTATAACTTAGATATTGATGCAGTTCGCAGTTGAGAGATGACGTAGACCGATAATCCAGTTGAAAACTATTGTACAGAAATGATGGCAGAACTGCAAAGACGATAGCACACAGATTACCAATTGATGATACACGTAAATACCATGTACAAGAGTAAGAACGTAGAGATTTTAAAGAAAAAATTAATAGATTTAAACAACTTCCTAGCAGACCAAAGACGATGATGATCGGAGAAACTATACGACCAACTTGAAGAGCAATTTGCGTTAGTGTACTCATTTTTCGATTGAGATGTGAACTTGGTTAGTGTAGCAGTCAAACCGAATTTATATACTATTCTTTCCTTCTTGTTAAATGAGCTGTTTGTGAGAGATATAATAGGAAATATAATAGGACTAATATAATAGGATTAGAGATGCGTGTGAAAATTACGTATGTGTATGCGTTCACTTTATTCTCATCTAGAAACAGTTTGAACTTACGAGGAAAGGTCCCCAACTGTGAACTCGCTTTTGAGCTCTAAGCTAGTGGACAATAGGTAATCAAACATGCTGAATCCGACTATGACAAGCATTTGGGCTGCTAGGCCTCTGGAGACCCGGTTTTTGGAAAACCAGTTTTCTAGGTCAAAAACTTTTCTTTTCCAAAAAATTTTCTGATCTGTCCAGATTGTAGAGCATATCAAGAAACCTATGAAAAACATATTTTTTAAATTTTTGTACGGGCTTTGAAATGTTTTTCGAGGGCAAAACTAAGATTTTGTAAAGGCAAAATTACTTTTCTTGTCTTTGTTACCTTTCAATAAAAAATAAATGATAATTGGGTAAACGACCACAGAGATTCCGAGTATAACCAGTAGGTACTAGAAAGGAATAACCAAAAGCTATCAGTTTTACTTTCGCAGAACGTTTGCC